CACCAGTGGTGTGTAGTGGTGTCAGTAGTGGGTTTTTCCTCCCATAAAAGAAGAGGTGACAAAGTTTGGACAACACTGAACTAAGCCAAAGTAAACTATGGAATAACACGATGTGCAAACCCAGTTTTAGGAATAGAGGAAATGGCTTTATTTATGCTGACTGGATTTGCAAATCATGCAGTTTGATTAACTAGTCCACAAACAACAGGAATCAAAAACACTGACTGGAAAAAAAAAAGAAGAAACCTAAAAGGAAGGAAACTTTATTACAGAAGAGTGGTATCAAAACAGTGCCCTCAGTTCAGGGAAAACACAGATAATATAATGCAGGCTTTGTAAATTTGTTGACCTGCCTATTTATCTGAAAGGTGGGTTTCCAGCATTATAGCTAAACAGTATCTTGAACCCAAATTTATTTTCTTTCAGGAATATTTCTTAAAATGTAACTTATGGATCCTATATTTCATATGAAAAAACATGTTTTGTAATGTAACAATACAAAAAGTATTTTCTTGTCTTATTGTATACAAACTACAAATACATTTTAAAAGTGAATAGTTTTTGTTAATTGCAAATTTATTTCAGAATGCATAGCATTAAAGCAGCAATCTTGCACGTATTTCCCAAGCAATACATTTCTCTGAACGTATTGATGCTTACTAGGGGCAAACATGCATACTATTAGTGGAGACATTGCAGAAGAAAATGCATTCCCCGTTTATAAGCAGCTGAAATTCTTGTTAAAGCTTTGAGTTTTGCTATGTATTGAGTAAATATAGATGTTTAAAAAGAGATCACATTTTACAACTATAGTAGGAGTACCATAACTGTGCTGCAACTATCCTGAGGACAGCAAAATGTTAATTTTCAATATTTCTTTACTGCCATTAGTGATCCTCGGGGTTCTTGCTGCCCAAATGTATTATCTATGGTATATTAGAGTTCATGGTTTTTAGTGCTTTAACGAATTCATCTGTATACCATTTTCTCCTTACAGGATTTTTGTTTTATGACACATTCTAACAATTAAGCCAGCTGTTGCTCTTCATTACACGAATCACTCTTTTAGTCTTCAGATCAAACTCCCACTGCTTGGACCCGTGGAAAAAATAGAAGAAACCTAAAAGGAAGGAGACTATATTATAGAAGAGTGGTATCAAAACAGTGCCATCAATTAAGGGAAGACATGGATAGCACAATGCAGGCTTTGTAAATTTGCAAACATTGTAGAAAGAGTGACTAGCAAGGGCTTAGTTGAGGCATTTTCTGCTCTTTCAGCTGGCACTTGTTCTTGGACAGGATGCTAAAGCAGACTCAGAAGTGGACAACCTTTGCAAGGTTCATTCAGATCTAGCCCAGTAGCCCCATATTAAATATAGGTTACACTGTTTTATATCAGCATCTCTTCAATCAATTTATCCCCAATTATTCTTCCAAGAAAACATGCTTCAAATCAATTTATTTAATTAACTGAAGGTATCATTTCCTCCCCCCCCCCCAATATCTAGAATCAGAAACCAGAATATAACATATTATATGACTTATACGGTGGGCAGTCCATATTTATTTTCTCTAATTTCATCATGAAGGGCCTCAGTCTCGATCAGGATCACCAAGTGTGGTGAGAGAGGGTTCCACCTTTTCCACAGTCATGTTATTCCCCAATTTCTCCTTCATGGGAGTGAAGAAGGGGTTACTTTTGCTGTTTGAGGGTGTCAAGATGGAAGATACATTGGGCTCAGAACAGTATCAGGCCTGATTAGTACTTGGACCACCAGAGAATACCAGGAATGTAGGCTAGACTGGGAAGTCAGAAAATATCTCGAAGAAGGTAATGGTAAAACCACTTCTAAGAAAACTGCATGTTAGGAGCTGAACTTAGCTCAAAGCCTATTTATTTGTTTGTTATCTGGATAATATTTCTGCATTTCAGTTTTTAGGCCTTAGTATTAGCTACAAAAGACTACTGATTAGTATATATTATTATGCATATTATTATGAAGTTAGATTAGTAATACCGTTTATGGCTTGTTGTTAACCAATTTTTCTTTGTAAATGAATTGTCTTATGATGTGATATTGTATAGTTTTTCTAATGCTTTTAAGTACCACTACCATGGGAAAGTGACATACAAATAAATAATGATAATAGACAGGTTCCTATGTGTTTGTGAGAGGGCTGGTCATCCAGCTTCATGATCCATATTTTGGACCCACATTAGAAAGTGCCATTCTTCCTTACCATTGAGCTGGAAGGCAGCATCAATCTTCTGGCCAATTGCAGGAAAATCATCCCTTATTTTCCTTGGATAATCCTTGTCCATGGATCGAGTATTTTCATCATACCTGAAAAACATAATTTAAATATTAGGTGCAAGATATGACCGATGTGAATTCATGGTCCTAATGAAAGATAGCGAGAGTAGATGGAAGGAGGAAGGAGAAATAGATACACAGGGAGCAGGATCAGATGGAGAAAACCCAGTGCACCACTAATGAGTTCTCCTTCTATTTGCTGATTGTTTTGAAATTAATGGTAAAGTAATACATAAATATTTGTAAATATAGGAAATAAATTTCATATCTGTATTCTATATTCCATATCAGTACAATATGATGCAGTATTTGTGGGTGCTCTGTGTTATGTTTAGAGAGTATGAACATGTGCTTTAGAAAATGAAATGCATTATCGCATATGAGTTCTAGAACAAGGATGCACAAAAATTGTGAGGGTGGGTTGAAAGCTAGGGTATGCTAGCCTCAATTGAAAAAACTGGGTGGACTATGACCAAAAAGTGGGTAATGCTAAGATAAAAACTGAATTTGGTTTAATTTGAGATAAAACTAAATTTGATTTGGTTTAGATGTATGTGAGGAAGTGAAGTAGGGAGCGTTGTCTGTGCATTGTTTGCACATTGTTTGCTCTTAAGAAGAGAAGAAGAGGAAAGGAAATGACGTGAAGCTAAATGTAGAGATTTCCTAGAAAGAGAAAGGGAGGAGAGAGAAGCTTGAAGAATGGAGTTTAGAGAGCTAATTTCCTTCTAAGGAACACAGAACCCACCAGACAAGAGTCTCCAGTTTTGACTAGCTCTGCTCCTGATACAGGAGGGGGTTTAGGTGCCTATGTTAAGGATATAAAAATCCATAAATGAAATGAGGATGAGGACATAGAGGCATGTTTCACTATGTTTGAATGGGTGGCAGTGTCATGCAAATGGCCAAGGGATGACTGGATGGCTAGGTTAGCCCCATGTTTAACAGGGAAGGCTTTAAGGGCATATACGGATCTCCCTGCACAGGAGGTAGTGGATTACAAGAAAGTAAAGGGATTGATCCTTTACCTCTACGAAGTCACAAAATACACTTACAGGCAGAGATTCTGAGAATATAAGTTTATATAAGCAATGCAGACACAATGTGAAGAATTAAAATTAAAATAATTAAATGCATATAATATTAATATTTTTTCTTTTGTCATGTTAAAAGTCTGAATAAAGAAACAACTTTTGGGAGGCATTTCAGGACTGCACCAAAGACTTACGGAAACACACGTGGGCAGAAGGCTGTAGGTTGTGCATTTCTCTTTTAGATGAACACGTTAAAAGTTTTGATATGTACAGTATATGTGTGTATGGGTGTTTACACACATGGACACAGAGACAGACACATGCAAATAGAATGATAAAGTTTGCTAAGCCTTTGCTTGGCCCTAATTAAAGCATTCCTGACAGATAGCTGTCTGTCCTCTGTTTGAGCCCACCAACTTTACTAAGTAATGTTTTTTCTGTCAAACCTACTGTTAGGAAGATTTTCTAATGCTCAATCAGAATGTGCTTTCCTGAACGTTAAATCTGTATGATGTCTGTTCAGTATTTGAAGATCATGGATCTAAAGATTAAGATTGTTAGAAGCAAAAGAAAGGAATACAAAGTCAGTTTGTTTGATCAAGCTTAAAATGAGACATGCTTGTATAAATATGGGATCCCTATATGGACTTTTTGCTGACACTAAGTCTGAAATGTTAATGATTTATGGATTTGCTTATGGATAAGGGATGAGTTATGGGAAGAAGAGATACTTGCATGTAATATTATAGGGGTGAAGATTTATTAAGTTTGTATTTGTTTTTTATATATAATTTTTATTAAGAATTTGGATTATAATAGTAAAATCTAATTTTACAGGCTAAAAGAAAAAAAAAGAATAAAAAGGAGTAAAAAGTGCAAGGAAAAAGAAAAAAAGAGAAGAGAAAAGTAAGAATATAATAAAGAGAAAAAATATATTAAGAAGTGACTTCCAATCTTCATCGCAACAAGTATAAACAAATTTAGTGACTCTTCACCCCTTCTAAGGTTGCAAACATTTATCTCTTCATCCCATATCCCATCTCTTATCTATAAGCAAATCCATAAAAAATCATATTTTCAGTCCTTGTGTCAGCAGAAAGTCCATAAAGGGTTGCCAGAAATAACAACATATCTTGTTTTAACCAATTTTATATTCCTTTCTTTTACTTCTAACAGTCTTAATCTTTAGCTCATTCAAATATTGTCACAGGATTTGATTTCTTCATTTCTTTTTTCTCCCATCGTACAGACTGCTTCAAGGCTTTTATAAGCCTCTTTTCTAAATCCAATAGGAGAAAATCATCCAGGTCACTCTCTTGGTTTGTCATTTGTATTTCCCTTTTACATTTTAAAACCTCAGCCAGTTTCTTTTGTAGATCCAATAAAACATCCTTTTCTAAGTCATTCTCTTGGCCTGTCATTTGTAAATCCACTTTCGATACTATTCTTATTTTGTCAGATAAAATTTGTTCTGCATCTGTCATTTCTTCAACAACATCTTAGGGACATAGTCTATCCGTAGAAGCAGACATCATTACTGACATTGTTGATATTGTGGCTACTATGTTCTGATTTCATTCTTCAAGTGTCCTTCAGTATTTTTATTGTTATAAAGTTTTGCAACATTTTATAGGCTTGTATATCTTTCCTCTACCTAAAATCTTTAGTTCCCTCTAGTGTCCACTTTTTGAAATCATGAAATTGGCTATCTATGTTATATCTTGTAAAAAAACAAAACAGTATCTATTTCCCATGAGAAGCTGTTTGTATTTTATAATTAATTCCAAAATCTTATTGTAAAAGTTTCAATATTTCAATTTTATCTGGACCCTTAGTCTGTTTATAACTTTCTAAGATCAAAATCTTATTTAGTTTTTTGCTATTTATTTCAGATTCTTTAAATTCTTAAGCTTATGATTTTCTTCTGTTCAGGATTGAAGGCTGACTCACCAGGCATTTTCAAACTTGTTGTTCTGAAGGTCTCTAATAGCTTAGAAGTAGTTAATGAGAAATTTCCAAAAGTGATTGGAAAGTGAGGTTTGCGAACTTAGTGTCCTTTAAAAGTCTCTGCCACATCTGCGAGCAAGATGGCTAATCCCATCATCTCCTGGTGCTCAAACACGTTCAGAGCAGCTGTCCAGAGCACTCATGGGCAATCTCCCATCCTCTCCTTATCAGAAGAGATTCCAAGGAACCTGTCTACTCACTGCCATCTTCAGTTCACTTATCTCCCCTGGAAGCCAGTTTGTTGTACTTGTGATGAAGATCAGAAGCTACTTCTTTAAATATTTCTTTTTTTCTTTCTCTTTCACTTATTCTTTTCTTTTTCTTTCTTTCTTTCTTTTTGTATAACTTTTATTCTATTTTTTCTTTACTTTCCCTTCTTTCTGAGTTTAGTTTGTATTTTCTTTTATTATTATTATTAAAACTTTCAATAAAAATTATTTTTTAAAAAAGTATATGAAGATCACTTTAATATTCCCCTTCAGACTTTTCTTGTCAAGGCTAAATATGATTGGCTGGTGTGGGTCTTCCGGGCTGTGTGGCCGTGTTCTTGA